CTTTGGCGCTGAAGCGTCTTCCAGAACTCCGTGACGTCTTCGCGAGACACGCCAAACGCAATCGCCTCGGGACGAGTTTTCTCATACTTATCCCACATCTCCATGGTAACCAGATTGGGCCGACCAAGATGGTACAGCGCGCAGCGGAACGCATCCATGAAACACGTACCAGCTTCGGAAGCACTATCATGATCGTCGGACCACCCCATAAAGGTTTCCTTAGAACCAGAATCCTTCCACTCGTCGACATATTGCATCATGTACCGCGTCGATTCCTTGTCCAGCAACTCCATCCAGACCCAGCTCATCTGCAGTGGACGACCCTTCCACTGAACAAGATAGCAGCTGCGCCAAAATTCTACTTCGACATCAAGCAAGCGTGTGATCCCAGCCGAGTTCGCATAGTTCCAAGGAGCATCCGAATTGTAGTGGTTGCGATGGTTCGTGGTTGGATGTCTCTCCGGAGCTTTGGGAAGCGGAAAGGGGTGCCAGTCCGACGTCTCATCACCACGACGAAGTCGAGTGCGCTTCGATCATTGGGTGTCCTCCTCATCTTCGTCGTTAAGCAAACCCACCGCTTGAAGAGCAACATCCTCAGCTGCAACGCTATCATCATCCGCGACATCACCATCAACGTAATCTCCACACAACCCTTCGACCGTAATCTCGTAGATGTGTTCCTGGAGCGCGCTGGGCGGCGACGACGTAGAGGCATCGTGAGGCGTAGCCGAAGCGGTCTCGGAGGAACCAACAGGAGGCGTAACCGAACGGGGAGGAACAAGACTTGAGCCAGGAGCTTCAGCAGCCGCGTCGCACAGGTGACGGCAGAGTCACAGCAACAGCAGGAGCATCGACCATGGCAGCCAGAACGGCAGCGACTTCAGTAGGAGCAGGCGGCGTCGACGAACGAGCGCGAGAACGAGCATGAGCACGGGAACCGAAATCACTATCGGGACCCCAGTAGAGAAAGCTCGCAAGGAGTACCTCGTCCGACGTGTGGGACTCAGAAGAAGCGGGCGAAGCCATGCTGGTCGGTGGTGCCACCAAAGAGTCGCTTGGAAGCACCACAGGCCGTACGGTCGGCGAGCGAGGCGAGGGAGCGGTGAAAGCCGGGCTAGCAGCAGCAGCAGACGCAGCAGGCACAGCCATCCTCCCAGACGGACCTATCCAAGCCCCAAGTAAACAGACCCGCACAACGCAGGCGTGGGTAACTCGGGATCGG